TTTAAAGGGATAATAAGTAAGATTATAGGCCCAGTTATAAGTAGTTACTAAGTCCCATGGGCCTCCATAGATGCAGGTTCTCAAGCGCTTCGTCTTCAGCTCCACTGGTTGGAAATTTCTCGTATCCTACACGCTGAACCCCAAGACCCTACTCCCGAAAACCTAAACCTAAACCCTATCCCTACTCTAAACTCCAAAACTGTTCCTCAACCCTAAACCCTAAACCCCAAAACTCTAAACTCCAAAAGCTCTTGCGGGACTAAGGGAAAGCTTCAGAGCAAGCCAGCGTTCATACGACAGGAGACAGAGTGGTAACAGCCCCTTCATTGGGGGCTAGGGTTTAGGGTCCTTTGGGGATGCCTTCCAGATTTCCAAGTGTGTGAAACTCTTATCTATATAAGCCATAGTCTAAACTCCTTAAAGGGGGGTTGTATAGGGGGTTATATGGTATTTTCCCAAAATAGGGGAACCCAACATGGACCCCCAAATACTATAATCCTTATTATGGGGAGCCCCAAAAAGGTACCCTTAATTTTGGGAAACCCCCATATAGGGAGCTACCATAGGCCTTATAAAGGAGAATCTAGGAGTTTAGACTATGGTTCATATACTCTAGACCCCTCAGAAACCAATCAGTATTGGTTTACAGTGAGCGTTGATCCCAGGACTTTGTAGGACTAGGGCATGGGAATCTGGATGTGAATTCCAAGCTTTGAGCCTTGGGGATTTGGAAGCCTACCGCGCTTCGAGTGCGCTGGGGCCTTGAGAAAGTGTACTTAGGGCCGGTATCAGCCAAGTAATGACGCCAGCTATCCTCCTTATGAACCTACTTGCCAAGACTCTATAACCCCTGTAAAAGGTCCCAAGAAATTATCACTGGGCGAACCTATACAAGTCCACTTAGGGACATTGTAGCTAGGGCCCAGCTCTAGGTCGTTGTTAAGTTCCAGTGGCCCTCCAAGTGGGTATTGGTCTAAATTCCCTATAATACGGGGTCCTATATTTGGGCTCCTATTATAATACGGGTCCCTATATACATGTCCCCAATTTAAGGAACGATTGGGCTTTGAAGTGGACGCCGCTGAATGGGTGGAACAGTTCGAGCAGATAAGCTGGCACCCTTGCCCCTCCCAAAAGGTTCGTGGAACACTCGCTGAGCTGCACCTGGGGGGCTGTGCAAATTTAAGCGGGTTGCCGTTATCCCGGCCCCAAAAGTAGACTCTCAGCAAAAATGTTTGAGACTAATCTGAGGATGGAACTACCCCCTTGAATTCGGGACCATGTACTTTGCAGTACCATACTCTTCCACACGAAGCTCACGAAAACGCCAGGCGCCGTATGCGCCTGGGACCATCTATGCACCTTATTGCCCTAGGAATCTACCCTACCTTAACAAAAAGCTAATCTGCGCCCCTGGCTCCTAAAGGGATTCTAGAACATGGGGGGCCTTGAAGGGCCCTACCAGAATGGACTATTAGAGCTTAGACAAAGGATTTGGGGTCTAGGGTGTAGGACCCCTGTATCGGGTCTTAGTAGGGTTCATGTGTTTGGGTTCATGTGTTTGGGGGTTTATCGGTTGAGGGGTTTAGGGTTGAGGGGTTTGGGGGTTTAGGGCATAAGGAATTTTCTGGTCTCATAGCTCATACCTGTACGGTGGATACTCTTGCACCATGTAAGATGCCCAATACATGGTAAGTCTTGAAAAAATGTACAGGGGGTGCAAGGTTTCCTAGCACCCTAAATCCTAAACCCTAAACCCTAAAAACCGTAAACCCTAAACCGTGTGGTTAGAGATATGTGACGGGCTCTACAGGGGCGACTTGAGAAACGCCCATGGAGGGACTGAAATGCCTAGAGTGGTTTTTGTGTTATGCGGGGATATGAACGCCCTTCCTAGCAATTAAGGCTTGTATATCGGCTACGCTCATATACGTGCACAACATTCCCATAAACACATTCAGGGGCCCAACCCCCTAAATCCCGAAACCTAAATCTACATAGGTGTTTCGCCAAAATGGTTCCTACGGGGTTGCCACTTGTCCCCATGTAATCCCCTTACATCTCATGGGCATTTTTGATCCCCTCATTTTCAGAACCCTGTGCATTAATGTAGACCCCTGAAAAAACAAAAACTCTCCCTTTAATAGGGATCATAATAGGGATCCTGATATTAAGGCCCTTAAAAGGAGTGGGTTTATTAATCATGGGTTTACATTCCTAAACCCTTAACCCTTAAGCCTAAACCCTAAATAGTAGCTTCCATTTTCTTTTCCATTATCCCTATATAACCATATTTGGGTCTACTAATGTTTACATTACCACTTCTTTATGCCTCCTGCACCTGCAATCTTCGAGCGCAGGATCGCGAAAAAAAGTGGGCGGAACTCTTCCAGGACTGCCCAAGTTCCAAGAGACCACGCAAACATAAGGGGATGGTGCCATTGAGTTCTCGGGGTCAGGGTTAAGGGCTTAGGGTTTAGTTTAGGGTTTAGGGGCCTAAGTAATTGCCAATTTCATGTTGAGCTCCATTTTAGGTACCATAGTGTTCTTGGGTATGGACCCCGACCCCCAGTATTCGGGGCTATTATACCCTTAAGTCAGAGTCCTTTGTGGTGCTTGCGCGCTGCTAAGGCTTGTTGTTTTGTGTTTAGGTCGCGATAGGGAGCCACTAAGCTGAGGTGGCCTTCTAATAGGGCCACAAACTGCTTCAAACGCCTGTACAACTACTCCCGTCTCCCTTGTATTCTACAGGCACCCAGGAGGACGCGATGCTTTTCAAACAAAGGTATCTAGAAAATTCGCTCAGGCGCGCACTCCCTATAGTAAGGACGCTATCTCTCTAAGGATTATCATCTAAAAGTCATGGGGTTGAGGCTGTAGGTTCCTTGTGAGCAATCATCCCAACTCCTTGAAGGGGGGGTTATATAGGGATTATAGGTGACTACTGTAGGGGTTATTAAGGGGGATACACGGAGTTTAGACTTTGGCTCATGTAGGGACCTTAACATAAGCCTTGTATACCCAACATGTAACTCCCCTCCTATAGTTGGTCCTAAGACTTAGGGTTTAGGGTTTAGGAGCCTGAATGGCCCTGGACACTGTAAACCGTAATGAGCCCTAAACCCTGAACATTCCCCGAAGTAACCAAAAGCAGGGCTTCCAAAAAAAGGGAGTTCCTACAACAAGGATTGCAGTCGGCTTATATTCTGGCCCACATTTATGGAAATGTAACCAAGCTCCCTGATACCTGGAGCTTCTTTAATCCTGAAAATTCCCCCCCTAAGTAGCCCAAATCCCCGTCTTCCCCAAGCTGTACATCCTATATCCTCCACCTAATCCCCGAAACCCTTTTAAAATAATTGAATCCACTTTTTGAAGGACTGCGAGCTTGACGGGCAGCGCATTTGTTCCTGTACCGACCCCTCCGCGCTGGACGTGCTGATTCGCAAGAGCCTAGGCTTAGGGCGTCGGATACCGGATTATTAAACCCTAAACCTTAAACCCTAAACCCTAAACCCCAATCCCTAAACCCTAATCCTATACGGTTTGTATAGCAAGAGCCTAGGCTGATGGCTTGGGATACGGGATTATATACGGGTTGTATGGATTCTATAGAGGAAATATGGGCTTTGGGGGGCTTCATGGAAGTTTATGCTTCGGGTTTGGAGTTTAGGGAATTCGGCTCTGAGGGTGGAGTACCTCAACCCCCAAAGTATGTAAAATACTAGCCCTAANNTGGGTACCACAAGGTACTATTGTAGGTATATTAAGGTCCTATTAACTCCATATTAAGGAGCCATTACTATAGGGGGGATTGACCTAACCTTAACCCCAAAAAAACAGCCATAAAGGCCATTGTTTTACGTACTTTTGGTGTCCAGGTAGAGGTGGTTTGGGTTCCTACACTTCAGAAGGGCGCCCTACGCACGAGGTCCTTTTGCTTACTGGTTGTTTGTAGGGGGATGCAGGAACGGATCCCAACACTAGTTTCAGGGTTTAGGGTTTAGGGTTATTTCCTTTACCATTCCCTGGACCCTACGGCACCCAAAATACAAGTCTCCATATCTTTTCCTTTGCCTAAAACTAAACCAAAACACTAGCTTCCACTTGCCTTTCTACTCCTACATTCCCGACTAACAACCAGCCACCTTAAGATGGAAGCCAGGCATTCACAAAGAATCGTTGACAAAAACGAGCAGTCTGTACATGAAAAAGTGCAGGCAACAGACATCTTCCAGCTCCCCAAAGCCTTTGCTAGCCCTAGACCCTAAAGCCCTAAGAAGGAACTAAACCTCCATTTAGCTTTGAAGTGTGAATTTGAGATTTAGATACTGCTCTCTACGCCTAAGCTTTAAAGACTCCAAGCGCAAAGCTCTGTATGATCAGCCCTGAACTGTCTTCTTTAATAAAGGGATTTGGGTGACCCCAACCCCCCAAATTAGGACCCTATGACTATCATATGATGGTTATAGGGTCCTAACTTTGGGGGTTGGGGTTACCAAAACCCCTTTATGAACTCCTGGCATGCCTACCCGGAGGATCAG